TTAATAAACCTACCCAGAATGGGTGGGTTGCGTTACAGTGTAGTTGAATCAGACAAGGCTTTTTTAAAGAGACTCATGCACAAGGGAGTCTGTATAGGAAAGGAGAATTTAGCCTAAATCATTGGAGTTAGGAACAGATACTTAAAGGGCAGATACTAAAGGCAGGGAGGAAAGCAATGCCATATTTTGTTCTGGATTGTTGTATGGGCTGGACAGGACACAGTGCAGGTTTTCTGATCTAGCAGACCAGGTAAAGGAGGAATCAGAGTCCTCAGTGGTTTTTGCAGGTCTTTTATTGGGATTACCAGGTACACGGCAGGCAGGGGGGTCGGGAGGCTGGCAGGCCTCCCAGCTCTCAGCAAGTCTTCACTCTATCTGGGTTCTCCTGTGTTCTCTGCCTCTCTCTTGGCTTCTGTTCGTTCTTGGCTTCTCCTGCTGGTGTCCCCTTGATGCCGCCCTTAAAAGCTCAGTCAAATCCATCTACCTATGCCCACACCCTACTCCAGATGCCCGCCATCAGGTATGCATTCAGGACCGCAGGGTTCCGTCATCTATCCTGATGGCAGGAGGGCAGAGAAGCCTGATACCTTTTACCTTACCCTATAGTCCACCCCCTCAGGGTTTTCTGCCATATAGTCTTCATATATACGATTTTCTTAGCAAACATAAATGATGCAGCCATGGCCCACAAAAGCAAATACATCACAATATAACATCAAAATACAACAGAACACAAATAAGTCCAGACAGGGCCCCAACCTAGTGGCAAAAGACAATTATTGGTACCAGCAGATGAGCCACCAAATCTGCTGCCGAAGGCACTGCTCGTACGAGAGAGGGGAATCACTTACGGCATCTACTGTAACACACCAGGAGTCATCAGGCTTCATGGCCTTCCCTGGCTGTAGTCTCGGCTATAAGCCACACACAGCATCCACCCCCAGGATGCGCTCACTCTGGGATTGGTGATTCTATTCAGTTGGGGGTAATCGCCAACCCTCAGGATTTCTGTCTGCAGTCGCTCCAACTTTCGGCCTTCATAGCCACCAATGCCTTCATAGCCACCAATGCGACTCGCAAACCCCTGCACTCAGGCCAACCCACTGCACAAGTACATGGGTCGGGGATCCTTGGATACAAACTCTACATTCAGCTTGGGCTCCACCCCAAGCCACGTTCCCCACCCATCCCCCAAGGACAGGTTCCTCAGCTCCTCACCCTCACTCGACAACGAGCAGGGCATCACCCACAGGTGATTTTATGAGACTCACTGTCCTTCTTCAGCTTACTTAGTGCTTAACAGCCGCTCAAGGCTTCCCAAACTTAGCATCAGTAACAGCTTTTGCCTTCTCAGTTGGCTTTTCTCCCTGCCTAGCTGCTGGGCATACACAGGCTGCTTTTTGGCTATCAAGGCCCACTGGCCACCCCCAGATTCCCATCTCTGGGGGTGTACAAACAATAGCATCCTCCCCCAGGGTCCCAAAAACAACTTTCCAAAGTTCCTCCACCTTCTGGCAGGATTGTCAGTCCAAGTCCATTAGTCCAAGTCCAATAGGCCTCTCCCTGCCATCAGCACTGGCGAGCTACGAATCGTGGTCCTCTTTCGCCGATGATTCTTGCTGCCTCAGGGGTCGTTGGCTGGTCCTCTCGGGTGTCTCCTTCACACGAGGTCCCGTCCTGCAGCTCCCAGACCTTGTCCCTCTCCTGTGCCACCATGACGCCTCCAGCGTCATCATAGGGAAACACAGTCTGTTACTCCCTAGTCCCACCAGGTCTTCGGAGGGCTCCATACCTGTCTGCATGGATCATCTTGCCGACTTATGCCAACTGTAAAGGGCTGGACAGGACACAGTGCAGATTTTCTGATCCAGCAGACCGGGTAAAGAAGGAATCAGAGTCCTCAGTGGTTTTTCAGGTCTTTTATTGGGATTACCAGGTACACAGCCCCCAGCAAGTCTTCCTTCTATCTGGGCTCTCTTCTCTGCTTCTCTCTCGGCTTCTGTTCATTCTTGGCTTCTCCTGCTGGCATCCCCGTGATGCCGCCCTTAAAAGCCCAGTCAAATCCCATCTACCTATGCCCACACCCTACTCCAGGTGCCCGCCATCAGGTATGCATTCAGGACCACAGGGTTCCGTCATCTATCCTAGTGGCGGGAGGGCAGAAAAGCATGATACCTTTTACCTTACCCTACAATTGTACTACACCTGGGCATGGGTAGATGGGTTACATTGCAACTGGGCATGTGGGCATATGGGCTCTTAATCTCCTTCTAGGAAATTATGAGGTAATTATCAATGGGGCTCTCATGGAGCCTCATGGTGAGCCAGTTGGGTGGGCCAAATTGTTTGGACAGGGCTTGCCAGTCTGTAATTTCGTTCACCTGTTCAAACAGAACATGGGGCAGCTCTTATCCTACCAGCTTGCAATTTCTTTTACCTAGGCTGTCTCAAAACTATGAATTAGTTCTCAATTAGTTGTATGACAAATCACAAATTTAGTGGCTTAAAATAATAAGAATTGGTTCTCCTGGTATCCATGCATCAGGAGGCCAGGTGTAATTTAACTAGATCCTCTCCTCTTGGTCTCACAAAGCTGAAATCAAGGTGTCATCTGGGCTGTATTTTCAGAAGCATGGGAAAGAATCTGACTCCAGGCTCTTGACAGAAGTTTTCAGAACTACTATCCTTGCAGCAGCATGTCTAAGGAACCCGACTTCTTACTGTCTGTGAGCTAGAGGCCTGGAGGTCACATTAGTTACCTGCCACGTGGTTCTCTCAGGCTATCTCTGAAGAAGGCAGCTTATCTCTGCAGGCCTTAGTCTGGTCTGCTAAGACTGAGTTTCAAGTAAAGTAACATAATCATAGAAGTGACATCACATCACCTTTGTCATATACTGTTGGTCAGCAGCAAGTCATAGGTTCTGTTGACACCCGAGGGAAATACAGGATATGACTCACTGGGAGTCACCTTAAGGTGTATATCCCACCAATAAAGTACTAGACTGAATAATGTCTCCTAGAAGTATGTTATAATCCTTGAAATCTGTAAATGTGACCTATTTGAGGGGGGGGAGGTGATATTGGAGATGTAATTAAAACAGATGTTGAGATAAGGAAATTATCCTGGATTATCTGGTGGGGTTGAGATAAGGAAATTATCCTGGATTATCTGGGTGGGCACTTAATGCAATTACATATATTCTTATAAAGAGGAGGCCTAGAGAGGTAGAGTACATACACAGAGGGAAAGGCCATGTGAGAACAGACCAGAGAGAAGTTTGAAGATGCTGGCCTTGGCTGAAGATTAAAGTAATGGAGCCACAGCCGAGAATGCTGCCAGCCAGGGAACTAGAAGAGGCAAAGCACAGGATCTCAACAAGAGCCTCAGTAGGGAGTGTGGGCCTCCTGTTATCTGGATTTCTGCCCAGTGATAATTTTATAATTCTGGGCTCCAAAACTGTGTGAATAAATTTCTGTTTTAAGCCACCATATTTGTGGTAATTTGTTATATAGCACCCACATGAAACTAATACAGATGGGTATTAAATGATACCTCAATGTTACTTTTTTAATGCATTTCACTGGTTACTAAGTGAAGTGACTTTTCATAAGATTCATCACCATGTAGATATTATCTTCTGAGTTTTCCAACTTAAGTCTTTTGTCTCCTTTCTTTTATTCATATTTTTATTGATTTATAGGATTTTTCCCATAATTCTCCTGCTAATCCATTGTCAATTTTATATGTTACTGAAGAAGATACTTATATTCTTCCAAACTGAAGCTTTCTGCATTGCTGTGGGGGAGAATCAGGTGTACGCCAGGAGCACGGGGGTGAAAGAATTAACCAGAGACCAAGTAGAGAACAGGATGATTAGATTTATTGAAATGCACTACTAAAAGAGGCAGTAAGACAGGAGGGGTCTGCTGCACAGGCAGTGAGGGTCCCAAGGCTCCATACTCCAGGCATCATTGATTGGTTAGGATGACTAATCTTGGGTGTGTCCTGACTGCTGATCTGAATTACCATAAAGGATCCTCAGCACTTTGTATCATGACCTTAATGTCCAGTTCCCATGGCAATTCCATCTACTCCATTTATCCATTCAAGCCTCCCAGTTGCCTGTTGGGTAAGAAATGGGGGGATGGGTTTTTAAATTCAGCAATGATACCATGATATATATTACTTATGGTATCTTCTGTTCATTTTTAAACAGTATTTGCTTCCCCTCACCCCCTAAGATGTAGTCCGCATAGAATTTCCTTCCCCAATGCACCCGTGCACCATCACCTCAGTCCCCTGTGCTCCTCCCCACCTCTCTCTTCCCTCTCCAGGAGGAGATATTTAAAGACTAGATCCTTGAGGTAGAGGAGAGCAGCAGCATAGCTTGTTCTGGGTTTGGCTATGCCCAGGCATGTGCAAAGGGATTACACTTCAAGTGTGCATGAGACTCTTGTTTGTCTCCTTCTAGGAAACTGAGATAATCATCAGTCAGGATCTGACACCTTTGTCTCTCATGGGGCCTCCAAGTCAGTTTGGTGGGTCAAATTATTTGTATAGGGATGCCAGTCCATGAATTAGTCCACCTGTTCAAACAGGGCATGAGAAACTCTAACCCTGCCTCGCTGCAATTTCCTTTACCTAGACTATCTTAGTAACACTAGTTCTTTTTTACTTTTTCTTTTATTTATATGTTACCATGTGTGTTAATAGCTTCTAAAATATACAGAATATTAGGTGCTCCTATGTTAATCTACACATTCTTCAGATACTTTTCTTATTCAGCACTAGCTCTTGATTTATATCCTTGGAACTTGCCAATTGTTGCGACAATATCCTATGTGTGCCCATGCAGCTTGTTGAAAATCCTGTGTGTCTTTGTAAGAAAGCTAATCAATCATTTACATTTCAAAATACAAACCTGACATTTAAAAAAAATATGTGCTAGGAATTTTACTTTTAGGAAGTAATTCCTCTTAATTTTTCTCCTTATTTCTAGTGTGCCTCCTGGACTTGAAGGTATGAAAGAACAAAATCTCTGCAACAAGATAATGGCTATAATATTAGAAAACAGTAATACCTTGTTTGAAGTAGAGTGTACAGAAAATGATAACCAGAGGTGTGAAAATCTGGCAAGATTTATCATAGTAAAAGTAAGTAATTTTGGTGCTTAGTTTTCAGTATTGCTGTATTTTTAATGGAATATATTTCATTTAAATTATTCTTTGTAATAAAATCCCTTATGGGTTTAACTTCAGATTATCTATTCCTATGTTTGCTGAATTCTTTTTTATGAAATCTTTTCTCTGTTCCAGTCTATTAGGCTGATGTATATGTTTCTAAGATTAGAGCGTAATTGTGAATTGAAGTTTTCTTACTGCTATAAAATCTCAGAAGCATTGCTGTGAACCAAATGCTCAGGTGGATTGGCCACACCTCCACTTATGGAAGAAGCCCAAGTCACAGCAGGGATGCATGCTTAGGGCTGTGTTAGGAATACTAGCTTACTGACTGCACTGCAGCTTCCTGACGCTTTTACTGTGTCTTTGTCTCTCTTACATCTAGTATATTTTCAAGGACCATGTCAGATTTTAATTCCTGTATATAGTTTTTAATAACTGTTACATGTATTTTTTTTTTAGTAACTTATATGTATTTTGTTTTGTTTCTGGTTTTTTTTTTTTTTTTTTTTTTTTTTTTTTTGCTTGTTTGCTTCTTTTTCCATTTTTTGTTTGTTGGTTTTTATCTTGTCATTACAGAAGAGGTATTTTTAACATATTTATTTTTGCACAGAAGAACTGGGGTGTAGGCCAAAGGGGGGCGATGAGAGGATTCACCAGAGAGAGTGGGGAGCAGAACAGGTGAACCTACTGAAATACACTGCTGAGGGGAGCAGCAGGTGAGACAGGTGAGGTCTGCTGTTCCATGTGGGTTCGCTTCCTGGCCAGAAATCAAACTCAGGCTGTGGAGAGCTATAGCAGTGGTAGTACTGAGTCTTAACCCCCAGGCCACTGAGGAGGCCCCAAGAAGAGTATTTTAAAGAGTATTTAAAAACCTATAAAGGAATCCTATTTAAATATTATACATAATTATACATGGGCTGATGATATATAGTGCATCCCTCATATATTAGGTAAAAAGCACATTGGTCTTTAAAGACATACAATTGAGAGTCACATCATACAATCCAAATCCTCCAGATGTAGGAAAGGAATCTTATTTCTTTCTCACTTATACTGAGATAAATCCTGATAGAACTGATATGGGTGGGGTGTCCCTTCAGGAGGTTTCCTGAGACTATCAAAATTTGCAGACTCTAGGGTATACTCTTATTTATTGATGTTGTTACAGGGCAACCCCAGTATTAAAAGGGTTGCCTGACTGTGGGTCCTCACCCATGCGAATCCCAATGGCATGCTGAGAGCTGGTGGGGAGCCACGAGCCATGAAGCCAAGAGAGCCCCACAAGGCCCACATGTCTAATTTTATACTAAACCTGGCTGCTTATCTCCATCCTCAGGTGGTCCCAGCAACCCTCTCTTTGGTGATGATGGGATTTGTCTTTCCCAATGTCTTGATGGCTTTGGTCTGGAGTGGGGATAGGGTCCGCAAAGCCTTATGGAATTAGCTCAGGATATCCTATCCCCCTAACAATTCCCCCCTTTCACTTTTTGCCACCATTTCCATGGTGATGAAGATCAAATATATGGATGCTGGGATACAGTCTCAGATGAAAATTTTTCAGGGTTCCAGTGTGAAAGAAAACCAGTCTTTCCTGGTATTGTCCATTGTGGAAAGCAAAAGTCCTCCATTCCTGGAAAAACAGTTCATCAGTCCAAGAAAAAAAAAAAAAAAAAACATGTGGAGGCATTAGCCAAAACAAGACAGCAAATGTGTCAAAATCACAGGAAAAAAGTCTTAAAATTGGTTCAACTTATGTAAAAACAAATTCTCGCAACCTTGAGCCCAAATTGTTTCAGCAGCATAGCAAAAGTTTGCAAACTAAATCTACTTTTAAACCATATTATCCATTTTTTTTTTTGGGTGGGGGCCTCCCTGGTGGCGCAGCGGTTGAGCACTGGGTTGCGAAGCTGCCTGCAGCCTCTGCAGCACTGGTTCGATCCCCGGCTGCTCCCCGGCCACCAGAGGAGGGTCCCACATGGTGCGCAGACCTCTCCTGCCGCCCGCTACTCCCCTCAGCAGTGTACTTCATCAGTCTGCCTGCTCTGCTCCCCGCTCTGGCTCTGGTGAATTCTTTCACCCTCCCGTGCTTCTGACTGTACCCAGTGCTTGTATAAATAAATAAATAAATCTTAAAAAAAAAGAAACTTTAAAAAAATAAATAAAAAATAAACCATATTACCCATTTTTGCATAAAATCATAGGACTGAATAACTAAACGATTTAGCTGGCTTTGTTGGAATACTCCCTATAGGATCAGAGCAAACTCTTGATATCTGGTCCATGTAGGCTTCAAGAAGAAAGTTGGTCTCAGACTCCACCTGAGCTTTCAGCTTCTTGAGGGTACCAGGACTTTTTTGTTGGTCGGATTGTCCAGTCCTGCCAATGGAGGCAAGCTTCCTCACCTTCTTTAGAGGTCTCTGGAACACTATGAACAAAGCAACAGGTTCTCCTCTCCTTGGTTCAGCTCTGTTTCAACTTCCTGGAAGAACTCCACTCAAAGCCACACAATGAAACTCATGTCCAATTTTTTTTTTAGTTTAAGCAGACAAAATCCCTATGGAAGTTATGCAAAAACAGACTCTGAGATAAGTAGTAAAAGATTACGCCACTATTTTTATGCTGTGTTGGTATCAAGGGGAGAGAAAATGCAAGCACAAGTTAGCTTTGCTGGAAAAAAAACACAACCTTGCTGCAGATCCTGGTCACTCAAAACAAGAAAACTGTGGATTCAGAACAAAATGCAAAAAAAATTACCAGTATTATTGTCAAAGAAAACTTAATAAAAATCAGGTGTGTCTCTAACAGTCTATTCAGTCCTTTGTAGGAAATTTTTTTTTAACCCATCAAAAGTTCCATCAATAGGAATCTGTTGAGGCCTTTCCCCCCTATTTTCTCCAGAAACAATTTCTGTAGATATCAAACAATTGAAGTATACAATACTACAAGGGGAAAATCACCATTGACAGTTTACATACATACCAGGTACTAAGAGGTTTTAACACTTCGTAGGTATTTTTTTTTTTAACCCATCAAAAATTCCATCAATAGGAATCTCTTGGGGCCTTTCCTCCCTGTTTTCTCCAGGAACAATTTCTGTAGCTATCAAACAATTGAAGTATTAATTGTTAGGGGGAAAAGATGTCCTGAGCTAATTCCATACAGGCTTTGCGGACTCTATCCCCACTCCGGACCAAAGCCATCAAGACGTTGGGAAAGACAAATCCCATCATCACCAAAGGGAGGGTTGCTGGGACGACCTGAGGGTGGAGTTAAGCAGCCAGGTTTGGTATAAAACCAGACATGTGGGCCTTGGGAGGGGGGCTCTCTTGGCGTCACGGCTCGTGGCTCCCCACCAGCTCTCAGTGTGCCATTGGGATTCCAGGTCAGCAGAACAGGTAGGACACATTTATGACTTTATTTCCCTCTTTTCTCCCTGAGTTGTACATTTCCTCATTTTCCCTTCCCTTGTAAACAAAGCTTTTATTAACCTTTTGTGTGTGCCTGCAGTTGAGTATTAATGAGTCCCTTTTAAGCATGCGGGTGAGGACCCACAGTCAGGCAACCCATTTTATATTGGGGTTGCCCTGTAACAATATGGCAATGAATGATAAAACTAGTGTCACTTGGTTTGGTCACTGAAGGGGTGTTTTCATTTCTTCTTCCAGTTGAGACCATGACTTTGAAGAAAATGTGTATTAAGTAGCATACTACCAAAACAGAAAAGGAATCCCAGAATTAGGTTTTCTTAACTAGGGCTTATGTTGTTTATGCAACAGACTCCTAGAAGGAATGGAGTACATCCAAAAGGAATATATTAGCAGTAATCTTACCAAGCAGATAAAGAGAACTTTAAGCTAAATTTAAAGGGAAAAACAATGCTTAGTTATAACAAAAATATCAAGTGTAACCTAAAATGGAAGTAACACTATAGCTGAGAAAATGTCAGTGATTCTCAGGAGAACATAAGAAAAAGGATTGAATGAAGTTTCTCATGATATCCTTGTGGGCTAAATGAAGATTTGGGGTCCAAACAAATACAAGCTTGGTTATTTTTGGATGTTAACTTCAGGCATGGTCTCTCTCTCTACATTTGCTTGTGTCATTTTCAGTATTGTAATCATTGAGTTGAGTGAGCACTTAGCACATTTGAAAGTGAAATGAAGCTGGGAGAACAGGTCAATAATTGAATGACTGGATATGCAGACCAACAAAATGTCCAGAATGTATATAAGCCAGTTTGTTCTTCTTCCTTGTTTCCTTCCTTCTTCCTTGTTTAAGAAAATAATCCAGTTTTATTTGGGCCTGCAGCAATGTGCAGATATCAGGGGCCCCTCCCTCAGCCCCAAGGGATGAATAGATCACAAATGGCCTTTAATACCATCCTCTTTAGCCAGTAATAGTGACAGCCAGTTGGCTATGACAGTTCTAGTCAGGAAAAGTATGTTTGGGAGTAGTTAAGATCTTCATCCCTGATTATAAAAAGAGAATAATTTAGGAGATGAGAGCTTTGTAGTCTGTGGATGGAGCTGGTTATGGTAATTGACTAGAAAAGTGCCCCAGGGAAACTCCCTGCGATGAAGAGAATATTCTATATCTGAATAGGGACTTAGGTTATATGCCAAGTGTGCATTTGTGAAACTCATTCAATTGTATGCTTAGGATTTACCCATTTTACTATATGTAAATTATTTTTAAAATTTTAGAAATAGAAATATATATATAATACAAATAAATAAATAAAAATATAAGTAAAAAAAATAGGTAAAAAGAGACATAGCAGGTCTGAGTCACAGTGCCTGCCTCTCCTGTTCTGTTCCCATCTGAAGGTATCAGCCATGCATGAAGCTCTTGACACCATCTTTTGCCCTTGATGACTATATCACTGACACAGTGAGGTTAGCAGCTAAAGGAGTAAGACGGAGTTCCTCATCATTGCTAATCTGCTGAACTAACCCGGAACATACATACAT